CTGTGGTCACCTGCCAGAGAATAAAGTGAGAAGCAAAGGGCCTGCTTGGAGGCGCGCTTCGCCTCCGCTTCGCGTTATTATCGGCATCAAAAAAGCACAGGGATGTTTTAGCCTGGTTATTTTCACCCTCACGCCAAACTGCCTGAATCAAATTACATCACATTAATTTTTTATTAGTTTAAAACACATTGAATAAATGTAAGTCTGGGCTGGCGTATGAATATTTAAAGCTCACACACAGACATAAAAAAAAAGGAAGAAGAAAAAGGAGTAGGGAGAGAAAAAGAGCCATTTACAAATACCGACAGAAGTAAAACCAACCTTCTTTAGAAAAATATGACTTATAACTGACAATTCTGGTGTTCTTAAAAAAATAAAAAGAGAAACCAACCGACTCACAGTCGTTCTCAACCAGAATTCCCTGAAAGTCTTTCAGCGACTCGCTTTGAGTCCTTAGGTAACATTGAATTGCTGGGACCTGTTGGCAAATTAAAAAAAAAACAGCTGATGATTTCCCACAGTCACGCGTAGTAAGTGGAACTCTGGGAGAGTAAATTTAATCCCAGAATTCTCTAAGCGTTGCTTTCAGATCGGGTCCCCGTGCGTACCTACACGGCGCGCACACACTGTGTTCCCGTGCGCGGGAAAGCAGCGGCGAAAACGGAATCGAACTGTTGAATCTGAGTTGAAGGGAACCCAACCAAACGCCCCCGGTCTGCACGCTTTGAAGCTCCCCTCGATGACCTTTTTAAAACACAACAAGAAAAGCAGTAGAGGGAAGCGACCTCGGGAGCACCGGTTTCCCGGCGCACGCGGCCCCATCACACCTTCTGCGCTACCGGAGTACTTGCAGACGGCGAGCGTCTGGCACAGGGTACCCCAGCGAGACGGCAGCCGGGAGCCCCAGGGCTCGAAGCCCCCTCGAAGCAGAGGGCCTCAGCACAGCACCAACCGGTGTGCAGACTCAGACCAGCCCAGGAAACACCCCGCGGCCAGCGCCGGGTGGCGTGTGCTTTTTTTTTTTTTTTTTGGCCTCGAGTCCCCCAAACTGAGGGTGGGGAGCGACCCCAGCTCTCTGGGCACGGTTCCTCAGCGAGCCCCACGCCCGTGGCGATGACCCCGCCCGGACTCCGCATCCGCTCTCGCTTGAGCCACCGTCTGGGCCCGAGCCAGCGCGCGGGGCGGGGCCGGGCCTTCCGGGCGCCGCCTGCCGCAGGTGCGCCACGTGCGCGCCGCGCGGGCCCCGGCCCCCGCGAGTCCTCCCGGCGCCGACCTGGGGTCCCGGCCCCAGGGCGGGGCTTCCTCCTCGCCTCCCGCCTGGACATCCGCCCCCACCCCCGGCCGCGCCCGCGGGTCCAGAGGGAAGCGCGGCCGCGGCGGCTGCCCTCGGGGCTCGACCCCGACCCTCGCCGGCGTCCCCAGATCGGGGCGGGGGGGGGCGAGTGGGAGGGGAGGTCCCCGGGCCAGAACACCGGCCCGGTCCCGGCTCGTGGGTGGTGCTCCCTGGCCGAGTGGGAGAGCTCGAACTTGGCCCCTCGTCCGGTGGCCTCCCCCCACCCCCCTCGACTGCGGCCACCGAGCTGGGGGCTGGGGTGGGGGGTGGGGGAGCTCACAGCGCGCCTCGGCCAACCCCCTGTGCGGCTCTTTTCTTTTTCCTGTCACTCCCTGCTTGGCTTCTGCTTTCTCCCTCCCACGCGGTGCCCGAGCACGCGAGGGCCTGGGGCAGCCTCGTCCCCGCCGGCCCCCGGCCTGGGCCTCCAGCCTGCGTCTCCCGGAGCCTCGTCCCTGCCGACCTGGCTTTGCTCTGCGGACTCTCCTCGCAGCTCCCAGCCGCCTTCGCGGGCCTGACTCTCGGAGTGCCTCCCGCCCCCCACCGCGCCCCCAGGCGTCTCTCTGCTTGGTGTAACAGTAAAAAAAATAAAAAGCGCAAAATGTGTGAGGTTAGTGTGCTGTTGCGGCAGCGTGGCTGGGTGGGGAAAGGCCTTCTTCGGTCCTCGGCACGTTCCCAGTCACCGGGGTGCGGCTCCCCCCAGGCGAGGCCAGCTCGCTCCACCGTGGAGCCGCTGCCGCGGAGCCCGCCCGCTCGCTCCCGTGCTCGCTCGCGGGGGTTCAGGGGCAGACGCAGCGACCCGTGCTGGCAAACGGGCCGAGCGCTCCGAGCCGAAAGCCCGGCCCGGGCTTCTGGGGTTCCGGCGGGGAAGCCGGGGCTGTTCAGGGAGCCCCCAGCTCCCCGCGCTCGACCCCGCGCTTCCCGGCCCCCAGGGCCGCAGCCTGGGTTCCGGGTCCTCCGAAGTGGCCGCTCGGCGGCGGGGCCGGCCTGGGTCAGCGCCGCCGGGGTGGGGAGTGGGACAAGTTGGCAGGCGCGCTGACGGCGGCGTGGGGACGTGAAGCCGGCCGGCCGGGCAGGCGAGCCGCGGCTAGGCCCGAGCACCGCGCGAGGGCCTCCGGCTTGCGACTCCAGCGCGGGGCCGCGGGACCCGCGAGGTGGCGGCTTCCAGCGGGCGCCCCCTCGGGAACGCACGTTTGCTCCACACTGCTCCGGGACGCACGGAGGCCAGCGCCCCGTCCGGCCCCGGGTCTGGTGTCTGTGGAGTCTGGCAAATCCGCCCTTCGGTGGTGTTTGGCCTAATCCTAGTTCCTAGCTAGATGTAGGCAGAAACGAAATAGTGGTCGGTGGGTCCTCGCTTAGTCCCAGAGCCACCACAAAACCAAACCATACACACAAAACTCACCAAATCGTCTCAAAATACAAAACTAAAGCCGACACAGGCAAACAAACCCACCCACCCCCACCCAAAAGCTCATTAAAAGAAATCTAAATCGAAGGAAACAGAATAAAAACATTTACCAACGCAACACACACAAGACACTCACTGATCAAGAACCAGGGCCTATCAAAGCACACCTCAGAAGAAGCAGCCTGGCACAGGGCGCACGAGGAGACAGTCTACACGGGCAAGGTACAAACCCCACACAGAATCAAAACACGCCACACAGACAACAAAACCCAGAGCTAAACCTGCAAAATCAGTTCCACAAAGGAAAAACAAAAACGCAAGTAACAAAGCAAAAAATTCATAGATAAGGAAAATTCACAGGAAACAAACAACAAAACAAAACCATTTGGAGGAAAAGCCAACGACTCCCCAGGAGAAAAGCCCCAGCCCAGGGTGAACTGTCAATTCCGAAAGGCGCGGGCAGGCCTCTGCTCCCCAGAGCTCTTCCCGGCGCCAGCCAGGAGGAAGGCGGGAAGCGGGAGCGAGGCCCGCGCGCGGCTGAGATGCGAAGGCTCCGGGGCCGCCAAAAATCAAGCCGCGGGTGGGGACTGCGACCCACAGGCTCCGAGGACCAGCTGGCCCGGGGGGGCTACCAGGCCGCTCGGTGCTGGGGGCCGCCCGGAGCCCACAGCCACGCTCCCGACTGTGGCGAAATCTGCTCAGTGGACTCGCGATGTCCGGTGCCCACTGCCCCCTCCCCCCATGCTCGAACTCTAGGCTCTTCCCCTAGCCTCGTGACCACCCCGGCCCCCCCCCCCCCCCCCCAAAAACCCAAACAAACCCTCTCTGAGGACGATTCACTTTCCGAAACTGCCATTGTCCAGCGGGCCAGGGCCGCTCCCCCGCCCCGAGACCCTTCCGGGGCGACCACCCCGCAGCGGGGCCTCCGTTGGCCTCCCGCGGCCAAAGCCGGCTGCTTGGACTCCGGACCCGGGAGGGGGCAGAGTAGGGGAGGCTTGAGCCCCAGTGGGCCGCGGGGAGCGAGGCTGGGCGCGCCCCACCATTGCCTGGTCTCTGGACTCAAGTCTGGGGACTGGGGGAGGCCACGAGGTCCCCTGGCCGAGGGCGGCGGGGTTCCACTTAGGGGCCTGGGGAAGGTGTGCAGAATCTTCGTGGGTCTCCGAACCTCCCGAGGTGGTTCCGCCTGGGCAGGTGCTCCCAAGCAGAGGTCCGGGTCGTGTCAGTGGTCTCTCCGCTGACCCTCTGGCCTCTGGGGCAGGAGGGGTCGCGCTCTGGAGAGATCTGGGACCCGGAGGCTGGGCAGGACCTGGGGACCGTAGTGATCTGAAGCTACCCTAGAAGAAGAGCGATGGGGAGGTTGCGGTTGCGTGGGGAGTGAGGGCGCGAACCCTGAGGGTGGGCGCCGCCCTAGGGGTGAATCCGAGGATGCTGGAACGTCCCCTGTGGCTGGCAACTGTGCTGGCACAAGGTTCAAAACCACCTGCTTGGCAGAATTGTTCTTTAAAATGGAAATAAATAAATAATGCAGGCCTGCAGGTACCCACGAAGAGGGTTTGCTTGTAGAGCAAAAGCCCACAGTGCCGCAACCCCAGACTCAGGTTTGGGAGCAAGTGAGACCCGGTGGCTCAGGTTCAGCCTTAGTCTGGTCCTTCCCCAGGCGCGCAACTAACACCGGGGCGCAGTTTGAGTCCTTCCTTCCCTCCCCCCCAACCCCCTATAAAAGTCCAAGGCGGCACCAAGGCGGCATTGCTGCTCTCCGGGCCTCTCGCACGCCTTCGGGCCGGCCCGGTCCGCCCCGTCTGGCACGCTGGGCAGGCCGCAGAACCGACCCCTTTCCCGGCTCTTGGCCCGCAGTGCGGGGCGGTGTGCCGGGGGCGCGGCGTGTCTGGGGACATCTTGTGATGTTGGCGAGAACAGGACATGATCTCACATGGCGAGAAGCTCTTTAGTTCCTTAATCATTTCACGGTGCCCTCGGACGCTTTTTTTCCACCTAAAACGTTTAGTTTCAGCTCAGTGATCAGCTACCCCAGCTCGGCGGGGGAGCGGAAGGCTTCAATTATTCCGACTTGTGAGCGTCCAGGCACCAAAAAAAAAAAAAAAAGAAAGAAAGAAAGAAAGAAAAGAAAGAAAGAAAGAAAAAGAAAAGAAAAAGAAAAAAGAAAGAAAAGGAAAAGAAAGAAAGAAAAGAAAAAAGAAAAAGAAATTAAAAAAAAAAAGAAAGAAAGAGGGAAAAGGGCACACAAAAAAGTGGAAACTTTTCCCCCTGTCCACTTCATCAAGTCCTGAAATATCAAAATGGATTTAGAGAAAAATTACCCGACTCCTCGGACCATCAGGACAGGTAGGACCACCGCGAAACGGGAGTCATCCGAGCTAACTCTGGGACACTGCCATGGTATCCTCTCAAGGAGAAAAGGGGGGGTCATCGAGTTTTCTCAGGGAAGCTCCTGTCCTTCCACGGTGCGTTTGTAGGGTTTTCACTAGTCTGTGCAGGTGTCGTCAGGGAGGCCTGTTTTCTTTGGGTTTTGTTCGTTTCTCCTTCTGATGCTTGTGATGGAGTTAGTCTGGAGGTGTGCGAGTTTGGGGCTGTGTGCTTATCTGAGGCGCTCAATGTGTGCCCCCAAAAGTAAGTGTTTGGTTTGAATCTGTGAACCTGCTTGTGTCTGTGGAAGCTTTTATCCTGCTTGGCTGGATTAGCATGTGTTTATGCGTCAGTGTTGGTGCGTGTTCTTTTTAAGCCTCCAAAGGTGTGTCTGTGTAAAATGCTGTGTGTATAATTTTGTTAAGCATCCACTGATTGTATAGCTACTGCTTTGGGGGTCTGCTCCTCTGTCATGCCCCAAGTGATTTTGGAAATAAGAAAGGGGTTCTCTCACCCCGCCATTTTTGGATGTCAACAGCTGCCCAATGTGTACATACTAATACACACAAAAGGGCTTGTCGTCGTCCCAGCCACGGCTCTGGGGCCTACTAAGGCATTGTGTGCAAAACGTGCTGCCAGGCCTGGATCTTTCACTGTGCACAGTGCCCTGTTCAGTGGTTAGGGTCCTATTGGATCTGGCGTTTGTATACAAGGGTCCCCTACAGTAGGCACAACTTTAGTGGATAAGAAAGGTCTGTGGGCTACTGATGACATTTCCCCCCCATCACTTGACTTTAAGTTTTTACCTAGACTAGCCTCTGACAGTGTGTGTGTGTGTGTGTGTGTGTGTGTGTGTGTGTGTGTGTGTGTGAGACACTGTATGCTCAGGCTTTGTCCTTTGGGTACTGCTTCAATGGAGGAGTAGGTGGATATATGTGCCTAGCCTGATCATTTAGCTGGGGTGCCTGTATGTACATAGGCCTTCTTGGCACAGTGCCCCTGTGTTTCCCAGAGGCGGAGGCCCTGGTCTGAAAAAATGTGGCACGGCAGTAGGCCTCTGTCTACCCTGAGGCATAACGTGATATGCCTCTTTTGTTTATTAGGCCCTTGTGTCAACCTGCACATAAATACTTTAAGTTGTGGCAAGAAACCCACTTCTCTCATTCCTGTATCATCCATGAGATCCCAGATCTAGCCCTTGATAAAAGTCAAAGAGAGGAGAAAACTTAAACCCTAACCCACAATGGCTTCCCAGCATAGTTTTGGGTTCTGAAAGAGCACAATAGAGTGAGGACAGGAGCCAGAAGAACATTGCTGCGAAGAGAGTACAGATGCAGAAACCTGGAACTCCATTCCCTTTCCATTCTTAATCCGAAGACAACCTTCCGTTCTCCAAGTGGTGGGATGACCAGAGGTGCCTTGCCTGGGTTGCTTATTGTTGGAACCGGGTTGGATGCTTGTGAGTCAAGAGAGGGGTCTGAGTGGCTGCCTCCCGACAAGCTGTCTACCACAGAGAATGTAATTCATGGCGGTCGATGGGCTCTTTGATTAGTTCAATCGCCTGAATAATCGTTTAATCAATAAAGCATTTCACTCTTCTGTTGCTGTTAGGCTGGGTGGGGTTTGCATAGGGGGAATTCTAAGGGGGTTTGGAGCTTCAAATCCTAAGAGCCACACCCCTAACCAGTGGGTTAGGGTAGAAGCCACCTGCTTGGGAAGGAGCGCAGAGGTGGCAGTGCCCTGATGCCTGTCTCCCAAGTCCTGAAGCTCACCTAGGGAAGAGGAAGGAAGGGACTGTGCTGTCCAGGTGCTCAAAGGCCATCTATGTCTACTTTCTGCCCTCAACCTTTAGGGCTTATATGAGCCTCCAAACTGTCCCTCCCTTCATCCAGGATTGTGTAGCGCTTCTTTTTCAGAACTCAGCTTTCCCATCTGTAGTGTCTTTGTAGCTCAAAGCCTTAGGCAAGGTCAGCACACAGCAGGCAGTCACTTAAAATACTTCTTCCTTCTTGGAGGTCCGGAGGGCGGGGACCTGCACGCATCAAACAGGACTAGGTCCAGAAGTGCGCTTTCCACTCATGGGGCAGCTTCTCACAAGCTCTGGGAAACATCTCAGAGGTTGTTCTCTGTGCTCCAGGCACAGGAAGCCGAGGCCTTTGGAGAAAGGATTGTGCAGTCTTATATCTTGGGAGAGACTGTCCTGGTGTTCCTGGTCTGCAAGGGCAGGCTGATAGGGATAACTAGCTCCAACACAGGAGGTGTGCACTCCTTGAAAGACTTGGTTTAACATTCTCCCACCCAATGATTCCTGCAACATACCCAGCCAGGCCAAGTCAGATTCTTGATCCACTTTCAGGAGTCAGACAGGTATCTCCGTGCCCCATTTGCTGTGCAATCACAGACCAGTTGCCTTTCCTTTTTGATCCTTTTTTAAAATTAAAGGTTAAGAGGAACCCATAAGGTTAGAACGGCAGTGCTCAGGCATTTCAGCTCCTTCTCAAATGAGCAACTAGTCTGAGTCTTGAAAGGCCTTGTTTTATTGGAAGAAAGAGCAGGCAAATGGGCTAGAATTGGACGGCAAGAGTCAATCTCAGGCCAGCACTCTGAGGCAGCAGCAGCATTCTGAGGATCTGGCTCTTCTGTAAGCTGGAGGGCCTGTTGGAGAGTTGGGGAAACAGGAAGCGGAGATGGGGTGGGGATGCTGTGTGACTTCCATCAAGCAAAGTCTCCAAGAGATAGATGCTCTCTCTCTCAAAGGTGTTCTGGCTTCCCAAACAGTCTCAAAGTGGCCTCCAGCAGACAAAACTTTCCAAAGCAATTGAATTTAAATACCTGTGGGTTTCTATTTGTCTGTTTATTTGCTTTGCTTTTGTCCTCCCCCCCCCCCCCCCCCCGTTGGGTTGGTTTTGTTTTGTTTCAGTGGCCTATGCCCTCTGTGAAGCTCTCTGTTAGCTCTGCGTGGGCCCGGGCTTCAGATGAAGCAGGACTCAGGCGTGGAAACCTATCTTTGTTGGCGAATAGCTGTGTATTCTCAGACTGATCACTTAACCACTTTGGGCCACTGTTTGGCAGCCTGTAAGGCTGGTGTAGGGGGTCCTATCAGAATTGTTCACTTCTTTGGGGATTTGAAGTTCCCAAAGCTCAGGGACTTCAGAAGGAAATTTCCTCTGAGCCAAGATCACTAAGTGCAGGGAGGGGCTTCTTTCCTTCACTGGTTAGGCTGGGTCACACAGAAGAGAACGGATCCAAAGCTGAACTACCCCTACTGTGTGAAAGGGGGAATCTGGGCTGTGCCTATTAAATCTATATCTGCAGTCTCCCCTTGCCCTCAGAGTGCCCTAGGGACTTTGTTCAAACAATACATACAGGACAACTGACCCCGTCAGGCATTGTCCAGATGAATTATTTGGTTTGACATCACTTCCCCTTCCAGCTGCCAACCTTCCTTTTACAACCCAGACTTGCTCTAGTATGATGACCTCAGACAAGTTGTTTCTGTCCTCATATTCCACATCTGTAAAATGGGGGGAACATTGCCTCAGAGCCCTTTTGGTTTTAAGATTCTAGATCAGGGATTGTAAGCTCAGGGGGCAGGGTTAGGGGCATGACTGACTCTGGAGCAGCCCCAACTCTTGACATCACTAGTGGGACTTAAGAGTCCCATAGCTGGCTGGAAACGATAAAGCAAACGGAACCCTATGACACCACAGTCCTTTTCCAGTTGTAATCTTCCTGCCCTAAGGCAGAGGTGGGTGTGGGGCAGCAAAGATCAAGAGCACACGGGGTCCCAGACAATGGAGAGAGAAAGCTACCACTTCACCGCCTTGTACACCACAGCCTTCTGAATCCCCAGAGACCGGCCTTGGCCGGTTCCCTGCAGCTGTGCTCCAATGGGGGTGGGGATGGTGTCAGCCGGGGGACACTTGCCCGCTTCTCAGGGACAGCTAGAAGGAGAGGATCAGGGGCTGACACAGTATAAAGAAAGTATAAAGTATAAAGAGGGGGCGCAAGGGGAGAAGAGTGGGAAATGAGGGAAAGTCAGGCAGAAAGCAAGAGAGAAAACGATTCACAGATGAGCCCGAGCCCTGTCCTCTCTCTGCTGTGCCTGAAACAGACATCTCAGAGTTCTTGTTTTGGTGGGTTTATGTTTAGTAGCAGGGGACTGTCACTTATGATTCGAAGGGGTGAGTGTTTAGTTTACTCCTACAACTGCTGGGTCAGTGTCTGTGCTGGGTTGGGTCTGAGCCCATGAGAGGGCTCACAGAACTGTAGCTACCTATGTGAAGACACTTTTTTTTAAATTTTTAAAGTCCAATAGCTTTGATTATGCTCTGAGAGCTTTACACTCCCAAGAAACTGGGACAGTGGGCCGGTTAAAGAGCTTTGCTGGATCAGGAGAATTCGGCTACAAGTCTGTCCGTTTTTGTCCTAAGACCTACAGGAACTCTGGTGAGGGCAGCTCAGCTTTTCCTAGCTGGCAGCAAGGAACTGCAGCGTCTGTGGCCATCTTGATGCCACACGGCCAGGCTCCTACACACAGAGGCAACCACACAGCCACTGGCTTCAGGCGTCTCCTTCGCTTCGGATGCCAGTGGACTCCTGTTTTTAAGGAGGCCTTGCACCAGATGCGGAAATCCTCTTGTTGACTGACAGAAGCTTTGAGCTAAGAGCATCACCAGCTCCCAAGGGACCTACCAGCTTCTAGGCTGAGGCAAACAGAAAGGAGCCACGGCCCTTTGCTTGAGACAACCTGGTCTAAGCTGTAGAGACTCCCCAGTTTCTGGTAACTTTAAAATAATATTCTCCCAACTCTGCCTTTGGTTAATGGAATACTGGGGCCTCTATGGATTAAAAAAAAAAAAAAACGAGAAGGGAGGGTACAGAAGAGACAGATTGTTGATAAAATTAGAAAACGTTTCCATTAGAAGGAGCCAGCATCAAAGACGCCTTCAGTAAGCTCTGCCCATTTTACAGAGGAG